CTTTTAAAGAAACTGAACAAGAGTCCAAAAACTGTACCTTCTATTTTCTCAAAACAGCATTTTTCGGGATAGCCCCCTTGTGCTTAAAAGCGACCAATTCGTCTCTGTAAACCCTGTTTCTGTGTACTAGTCTTAGTACTCAGTGCGCTCGGTGGTAAAGATCTACTCCAGACCCTCATAATCTAAATAAGTTGAACATTTATTTCTTTTTCTTTTTTGGTTTATGGCGTCTATGCTACCCCTACACTCACCCCACTATTGGAGGAGAGCCCATAAATGCTCCGCGGGTCACATAGTTTTCGAAAGAGGGTTGAAAAAGACCTTTTCCTGTCTGACTATTTCCGTCCCCTTTAGTTACCTTAACAATCCATAACAAGCCAGTTCCTCAGGTCTTTTCTGGATGTTTTGTCCTCCAGATCTTTAATAATAATCAATTGATTTATAATTGATAGTCGTTGTATTAAAATGGTTGTAAAGCGCACAGAGCATGCTCTTGAGCATGGATATACGATATATAAATGCAATTATTATTATTATTATTATTATTATCATTATTATTATTATTATTATTATTATTATTATTATTATTATTATTATTATTATTATTATTATTATTAGCAGCTACTTAGCAACTGATGTGTAATGGTTAGGCTCTGCATCGCTGCATGTAAAGTACATGAGTTCGGCTTCCATGCGGGTAAATCAATTTCATGAAGTACCTTTATCTGCATGCTGGGATGATGTATCCCCTTTGTTTTTGTTTTTATCCCTTTTTTACATTTATAGTGGGATGTTTTTACACAACCACCAGAACAATTTAGATCGTTAAGGACGCACTAGGCGTCTATCCTGCCTGCCTGCAAGGGTCAACCCGAGCCGTGAGGAATGTAACGTCCGCGCAGAAAGACAGAGACACTTGATGCAAATTCTCTCGACAATGGAATCGAACTCACTTCCTGTGCGTGTGACAGCGAATCACCTAACCGTAATATCACAGACACCAGTCGTATCCTAGTTGTGGGCTAGTGGTTAGGCTACCGGACTCATAATCGTGAGGGTGCGGGTTCGGAGGTTCGAGCCGCGGGTACGACGTTGTGTCCTTGGGAAAGGCACTTTACACGAATTTTCCCCACTTCACCCAGGTGAAAATGGGTACCCAGCTATAGACAGTGAAAGATCTTGTCAGTTTGTTAGTGTTTGAGCACTTAACCAGCTGCTTGCATGGTATGCTCCCCGAGAATCTAAGAACGTCTCTGAGTGTTCTATGGTCTGCTGGGGTAATAATACAGTGTAAAGCGCATAGAGCTTGCTGTAGAGCGGGGGTATGCGCTATACAAATGTTATTTATTATTATTATTATCCGACTTCACCCTGGTCAGCTATCACAGGCAGGGTCGACACAGCGTACCCAGCCAACGATCTATTCTGATATTGTGTCGATTAGGTAGGAAAGGAATGTACAATATTTACACAATCTGATTTTACCGCTAATTAGCCGTTCTTTGAAATCATGTAGCTTTGGGAATGGTGTGGGTTTAGCATCCCTATCAGCACCGTACGAGGTCTCCCTGAGACCGTTTCATTTGACAGCACTTGAGGACGCTCTGTTCTGGAGCTCTTAAGAAGAAAGCATAATTTACAGTTATCATTTCAATTCGATTGCATTTATCTGTAAAACACAAACTTCAAAATACAGACTATGAAATGAACACATTTTCGTGTTTTTGATAATTTGTGTGTGACAATTTGACAATAATGTGCCACAGCACAAAATTTGCTGTGCTGGTCGAGTGGTCGGACATATGTGGGGCATCGTAGTGAAATCGGGCACTCGTCAAAATATTTAAATCAAAGAAAAAGACATTTTTTCCTATAGTGTGGCAATTTTTACCCCAAAAATTTTTTTTGGCTCAACACTTTTTATGTCCATGAAAGCATATTTCCATCTGCATTTCGCTGAAAAACGTCGATTAATGGCACAAAAATATGTAAATTTTCAGATTTTAAGGACTCTTAAGCTATAGTGGTAACCAAACATTGGCACTATTTTCTCGCTAATTTTACCACTGGGACCAGGCTACCCCCACCTACTTCAATCGCAAATATCTCGACTTCTATTCAAGCTAGATGGACATTTATTTCATTGAAAGCAAGGAAAATGAATCAGCTTTCAGAAGATATCAGTAACTCCTCATGACCAAAAATTGACGAGCGCCTGATTCCACCACGTCGTGACACATACATGTATGGCCTCGTGATGGACGCAGGCGCTCGTCAATTTTGGAGGACATTTATGGAGATCTTGGAATTACCTTAAAGGTTGTTTATTTGTTTGCTTTCGGTGGAAAAAAACAACCCTAATCCATCTTGAACAGAAGTCCAGATATTTTGTGATTGAAGGAGGTGGGGGTCTCCTGGTATCACAGGCTTAGCTGGAAAATGGCCGCCACAATTCGGAAAACTTTGTCAACGTTTTTCTGTAAGAACCACAAAGAAATGGGTTTTCAAATAAATATATAAAAAGTGTTGAGGGGGGGGGGAATCAATAAAAACTGTCCAAATTGCGCAAAAATTGTTGATTTCTTCGATTTCATTATTTTAACGAATTCCTGAATTCACAACAATTTGAACAATGCACACATAACATGTCCGCCCACGTTCAATAGAACAGAGCTAGGTCGGGACTGCCCCCTCCCCCCCCCCCTCCAAAAAAAAATTATTATAAAGTGGGTGGTTGGCGGGTGCTCTGGTGTGGTTTGCTCCTTCTTTTCTATAACAAACCTATCGTCCTTATCTCCCCTCCTTCTTTTTTGTGCTTGTTTCTCTCTTGTAACATCTCTAATTTTCGGCACTTATATGACCTTATTGTGTTGCAAGTGCTGTAAAACTCTTACTAAAAAGAAGAACTAGGTCAGTGGAGAGAAATGTAAACTCCCTGTGGGGG